ATAGTACCCTGGTTAATTAATTATTTCAAAGAATTTCTCGCTATTTATTAACTGATTAGCTATCACTAGGAAAAGCCCATCTTAGAAAAAATAAATGTGCGAAATATATCTTCAAGTCTCATCTCGCTGGTTTCATTTGTCACTAGACGTCGGACTTTTCTATAATTTTACATTTTTTTTAGAAATCAGATTAGAAAGTAACATAAAAATAGCAATTTATCTCATTAAAAAAGCATTCTAAAACTGCATATTTGTGCATATTGTGCATATTTGCATATTTGCATATTTGTGCAAATTTGCAAATTTTATGCATGCTGCAAAAAATATCTGTATAAAAATCTGATGTCTATTTATCACGGTTTAATCCAACAAGTAATAAATAAAGGTACGCAAGGTTCAATATTATTTCTCTCGGCTATGCTGTTAAATTCATGTCAAATTATAGCCAATTTGAGTTATTTTTAGTTATTTCTATGTCGTAATTACCCCTCAATAGAGAGGCAATGATGACTTATAGAAATACGACTTTACTTCCCCTAAGATTGGCTTTTCCTAGTGACAGCTAATCAGTTAATAAATAGCGAGAAATTCTTTGAAATAATGGATTAAACAAAGGTGCTATTCTATATCGCTTATTGATAGTTGTCGTTATGTGTCATTAATTACTAAAACAATGGAGTTAAACAATTTGGTTCAAGAAAATGTATGAAATTTGATTCAAATTTAGTTCGTTGTTTATTAAACTACATACGTTAACGTTGTTACTTTGAAATTACAGAAATGGATTGATTTACATTTTGATACACATGAAAGTTAAAAATAACACAAAATATTACCAGGGAATGGAACTAACTCGTTTTTTGTAACGAAGTTACAGTTACAAGTTTTTTGGTAACTTTACTGGTAACTGCGTTACTTTTTTTAATAACTATAACGGTAACATAGTTACATTTTTTTTGTAACGGTAACGAATTTTACAGTTACTTTTATCGTTACTTTGCACACGTTGGACACAAGCCACTCAGTGCTTGAGACTAGGGTTGCGTTCCGTTTCACGCATGATGCGCACGATGTATCATTTTGTCTTTCTTTAATTTTCGGTGAACAACAAGGATAAAATGATATATCATGCACCCTATACATGAAACGAAACGCACCTTAGAAAGCCCCTAGACACCCGTCCGCTGCGATTGGTGGTCGTCGATTTAAAAAAAAAAAGTAACGAAAAGTTTTTTTCTCAAGTAACGAGTAACTGTAACTTGTTACTTTTAAAAGATAACTTTCCATTTCTTGAATGTTAACTCAAGAGATTGGATTACCATTGCTTCTTTGATATCTAACCGTGCAGCTTTAACGTTGAAAAGATCGAGTTATTGAATTATGATAAATGCTATGAGCGAATATCTTTATCGTCCCAAATTAACTGTTAGTTAACCGACTGTCTAAACTCACTAGGTGCATTTACTATTTCCGTTGGCGAGGTCGTTAGCGCCATTGGATTTGCATACCCGATCATTAGCCACCCTGTGCGCACGGTAATCGTGTTTCGTTTAATTAAAAGCTAATTTGCTTAAAATATTACGCTCGGTTGAATTTATTTGCATAGAGTTTTATTTAATGATGTCGGTACATCCCGTAGCGGTTCATCCTTGATAAATTCGATTACTACGACGTTATAGGAAAGCTAAAGCTATACGTAGAATTGAAAGCTGATGACACTTCATATTGATCTCAAGAAATATACTTCTCACGCGACGCTTGTTTTAGATATGACGCAAATCGTGATGTCCAGTCAGATTAAATAAAGGGCTGCGCCGCGCTAAATCTTTATTTTGATAACATGATGGAATCGACTTACGATTAAAGAAATGGAAGGAAGTAAACAGCGATATCACTTGATACTATCGGTGTATCGCAAGCGTCATCTCACATTTAACAATAGTCAAAACAATAAAGCCTAATCTACACAATGTGCTCTTTGCTTCCAGCTGTTTCTTTTAGCTTATTTTTCTCTCTTTGCGACCGTTTTATCGACGATCATATTTCTTACCATATACCTATTTTTTGTCTCTTCTGCTCTAAGATTCTGTATAATTTTAACATCAATGTCGCTATTATTATATCGTCGTTGCGCAACTTTTTTATCACATATAATATCTGCGTAACGATAATATCGTATAACGACACTGTCGTTAAGAGATCAGTATAGAATCCCTGCAGTGTTGAGGTTCATAAATTTTTATATCGGGTGATAAAAAAATGAAAAAATAGGATAAGACGCAAGAAGGCAAGAGGTAAAAAATAAGAAACAGAAAGCAAAGAGCATATGAAGTTTATTTTAGATTAAGGCTAAAATTTATTTATCACGTTTTCGCACATCGACGATCAGCGGCAAGTACATTCACGGCCCTTGAAGGGCCAAGGTTTCCATAAACTCCGCGCGGTTCAAGGACGCGTATCTTGCAAGGGACCGGTCAATATTTCAGCAACGTCGTTTCGTGCAGTTTCTCATTTTGCAAAATTGAAAGATCTTTTTCCCCCGCTACTCTCGGCGGTAACCGATGCTTGAAGAAGGCAGATTGGATGACCCGCCGAATATTCTCGCTCCGTCACGTCCTCCTCGAGTACTCTCTTCCCGTTAATCACGGATATCATCGCGTGAAACCGATCGAAACTCTTGCTTTCACTCGTCCAATTTTGCGGTTTCTGCCGTCTATACTTTACCAGGCCAGCTTGTGCCTACTACTGGCATTCGTCGCTCGCAGCGTAATCCGATATCTCAAAGGATTTTTGAAATGGCAAGTTTTAAAACTGTCAATGCTTTTTTTTAGTTTTTTATCTTTATATATTGTAGCGACTTATTAAGGATTTTTTTTTATGTTCCTCGATGACTTGTATAAGAGTTTTAACGATAATCGCGCGAGCTAGACGCTTCCTTATTATCTTTACATGTTCTATATGACTTCTTTTCTTGCGTTACGTTATCATACTAATATCCTTAAGAGGCTTCATATGGTTTCCACAAAGTTATTTTACGCTTGCATTAAGCCCGTATTACACTACGGATTGAAGATTAAGGATTACGACTTAGAGATTAGAATTCGAGTCAGTCAAATAATTTAAAAAAAAATAATTTAAAAAAATTACGATTCTTATTAGACCGACAAGAATAAATTATTAAGAGGAATCTATTTTCAATCAAAGTGGATCTTAGTGCTTAAATATTTCAGAGTAAATTTATATATACATATTCAATTCTACAAACCGCACGCTAAGATCTTTTTCAGTCTTGAAATCCAATCATAAACAGAACTATTTTAGAAGGATAAAATTTTATGTTAATCTAAGTATTTTAAAATAAGAATGCACTGTGTTCCAAAATTCACTGTCAGCGTTAAAAATCTATAATATAGTTTATCTTACGTACATTATATAGATTTTCAGCATTGGCAATGAATTTTGGAAAATATCAACTATAGTATGACATAGGATTTACGTATCTTTTTTTTTCTCTGAAAAGTGTTTTTTTATCATCGAGGAAACCATACTCACCTGCAGCACAGAATGTCTTCAAAGAATGTCTTAAAGACGTCCAGAGAATGTTCTACGTCTTATAATAGAAGAACGTCTCCAGATAACATTCCTCAGATAAAATATACTCTGTAAGCAGCAATAAAAACAACTCTCAATCGAAAGTTAAGTTAAATTAAACAATGGACACATCGTAGTGTTAGCTGAGATCACTGGACTCGAAGAGTTCATGTTCGACGATGATTCTCGTTTTAACGAGCGACGATAAGTGAATATAACATAAAAGGAGCCGCTCTCGCTACATGCGTCCAATAAAACGAACAGTCATTCATTCGGAATTGCGTCAATCATTAAACTCCATTAGGAGTTCTATTAACTTAGGCGCGAATCATTACATCTTGCACGCTTTATTATCTCGGTCTACCGCAATTAGCGGGCCCAGCCGTGCTTCGCGAATGAGTTTTGGATAGCAGCATGGTCACGATGCATTTGTAATCAGCTCGCGCGATCGTGGAGAAGGAAGCGATGCGCGAGACAATACACGCATTTGAATGCTTATAAATACCGTGCGTCTGTGTGCTTGCGAGAAAGCCCACGCACTCGCCCACTGAAGTGCATTATCTTTTAACAGATTAGCATACATGTAGTGCCGTTATTGACCGATCGCCCGATCTAATTTGGTCAACTGAAAAATATCTTATATTTCGGTGTGCCATATGCAGGACTTTAATACATGCGCTACTGAAAAGAAGAGTTTATATTTAACGAATTCGGCGTGTGCACTTAATGCTGTTTGTTAATCCTTTATTATAATTCTAACTTCAACGTTTAGGGGCGGGACCACAAAGTTTTGCATAATGCATAACGGATAATGTATAAGAAAATGAACCAGTCAAAGTCCTTCGTTTCCTTTCTTTTTACGAAATAAAAAATTCTGATTGAGTTGATATTTTTATGTCTTATGCGTTATGCAAGCAAGAAAATTCTTTTTATAATAATAATAATAACTGTTGCATGCATTTACAAATTAGATTTAAGCGATGCATAAAATTATAATGGTAATAATAATAAAACAAATGGCGTGGCTAGCAAACAGCGAGGCGATAGCGATACAAGACCTAATTAGAGAAATTCAAAGTATATGAACAATACCATTAAATAAGGACAAACGCAACAAATTTATGAAAAATAAGACAAGATATATTTTTCTATGATGATGTTTAATATAGTATATATATATATATATATTTCTAGCGATTAAATTATATATTTAAATGTTTTTAAATTAAAATGTTATTAAATTAGGCAATCACAAATAAGGCGATAAGCGGAGCAATCGATGATCCCGAGTCGGAGGTCTAGAAGATAGATAACGTCTTACAATGGGATCCCACCCGGTACACGGTATTAGCGATAACGAAGTGTATAAAGTGCGCGACGCGCCTTCCCTCGCACGCAGACGTGGAAATCCGTGGGGCAACATTCGTCGACCTCCGGGGAGAGTCGTGCCTCCGTGCGCAGACCAATCGTGACGGTCCTTTCACCGATCGGAATTCGAAACTCGTGATAAAAAGGCCGATTATCGGTATCCTATTCCCTTTCGACTGGTTGGAACTGGTGGTCGAAAGCCGCTAACGTGCGCGAGCCAGATTGGCCGGATCGCGACCTCGTCGAAGGCCCGCCTTGCTCCTTTCGTCGCGGAGGCTCGTCGAAGGACCGGATGTGCAGATTGTGCGAGTCGCGAGAATCGCCCCGCAGATCGTCATTCACTCGTGAATCTCTCGCGACAACCCGGTGAACATTACGCGCAGTTCAGCTCGTGATTAGCACATTATCACGCCGATAAGAGTACTCTGCGTGAAATATGTTGACGTGTTACATGACCGCGCTGCAATGCGAGTGGATCGAGAATCGCAAACGGTGGAATTCCACCGGTGCACCGCAATCACAATTGAGGTCGGTTAAAATTGTAAATCGCGTGTATTGCAGTGTATCGGTGGCGAGAGACATATCACGCGAGAAGTAATAAATTAATAATGACGCCTCTATTTGCAGGAACAACGTTAATGTCGAAGGCGCCACTCATAAACAGGTGGTGGATTTGATCAAATCAGGCGGCGATGTCCTTACTCTGACCGTCATTTCCGTGACGCCGCAGGAAGCGGAAAGATTGGAGCCCTGCGAAGATTTGAGGTAAGCACAATACAGTTCCGGCTTGAACGCTATTTCGATGTGAGACGAGAAAATCTTGATACTTAAAACAGCTTGAAATCTTTTTCGACGATCCTAGTATCGTAGAGATTATCTCACCGATATGACATTTGAAATAATAGCAACCTTGATGATTCTAATAACTATAGCAATTTCACAATTTATCTAGATTGATCGATTAAAACACACATGTATATATGTATGTACTTTTAATCGATATATATTAATATATATATATATATATATATACAGGGTGTCCCAAAACTGACAATAAATATTTAAAGATACATTCTTTGTAATATGTATTTTAAAACTAAAAGTTTAATATAAAAATGCCTGAAGATATGTTGAATTTTATTATTGTCAAGGGCAAGAAGTTCAAGGAAGCACCTTCAAGGAAACACTGATTATCTTGCCATTCCTGAATGCGCGAAATTCTAGCTCTGTCATTCGTAATTTTTAAACTTTTTCCATTTGAAAACTATCATAGTCTCGGCTTTTTCGTATTGTAGACTTTTCGTCTTAAAATATTAAAAAGAATCTGTCTTCAAAATATTTAACGTCAATTTTAGAACATCCTGTATATACACGAGCAGATACGCGCATACACGTACAAGTATTAAATGTATTACATTTTTGTTTAGTTACGCATCGGTAGATTACAGCGAGAAGCGATCTCTACCCATCAGCGTGCCGGATTATCACGTCCGCGAGAGGAAGCACGAGCGTTATGTAGTCTTCAACGTCCACATGGCTGGCAGGCACTTGTGCTCGCGTCGATATCGGGAATTCGCGGCGTTACATATGGCATTGAAGAAGGAGTTCATAGGGTTCAATTTCCCGAAGTTACCGGGAAAATGGCCATTCCAGTAATGTCCTCATGCTTAATTTCACACGTCGACGTAAATCGCATCACGTTCAACAGCGAAATGAATGAATTCATTCAATATCATAGCGCGTTTTATAATCACATTATAATTCTCGCACATTCGCACATTTTTCTCTTGAAAAACAAGATACATTTTTTATCCATATCATTTAATAAAGGTCCGTTTATAGCTGAATTAAGACGGATCTTTTTTTAGATTGATGACGTCAAAAACAAGAAAACATATATTTAATGAAAATTCTTGCAAAATGTATTAAAATAGAATTATTTTTTAATGAAACAATATTTGCATTTGAGAGTACACTTCTAAAATATACTGAAAATTCTTTTATTTCGAAATAGAATAAAATTATTTATCTCAATTTGACAGCTGTTATATACCTTGTTTCGTTTTTTGATTATGTATAATTCAATTTTAAAAATATGTTTAAATGGTTATTTATTAATCAAAGAAATATAAGAGAAGTTTTCAGTATATTTTACAAATCTATTCTATCGAATTGCGAATGTTTTATTTTAAAATATTCACGTTTTAATATAGTTTGTAAGAATTTTTTTGTGTAGTTTCTCGCTTCTGACATCACAATTCAAGATGACTGCAGTGGGTAAGCATTAGGACCGACAGAAGTCTTAGTGAAATAGACGTATATCTATGTTTGAAATTTGGTAAAAGCGAAAAGGAGAAAAGTTCTAGTATAGTCTAGTACAGCAATAGAAAACAATCTTTAAGAATTCCTTCATTCTCATTATACAGATTGAGTGAGCAACAGCTTGATGCAAGAAGACGCGGTCTGGAGCAGTATTTGGAGAAGGTTTGCGCAGTACGCGTAATAGCGGAAAGCGATGCTATGCAGGAATTTTTGACGGATCGACTGGAGGAGGATGGCGATCAAGGTCCAGCGGTTGATCTCAAAGTTTTACTACCTGATCGCGAAGTCGTCACTGTGACTGTTCCCAAGGCAGCGTCCGTGAAAGACGTTTACGACGCAGTTTGCTGCCGAGTAGGCTTGGACGCAGAAACCGCAAAGTACTTTTACCTGTTTGAGATTGTCGAATACAATTTCGGTATGCGCCAAAATCGTTTGTCATCTCATAAATTCTGGGTAAATAGCCGGCCTTGTCTGCAACTTAACGACTTGTATTGCAGAGAGAAAGCTGCAACCTCACGAACACCCGCATACTTTGTACATTCAAAATTATTCGACTGCCAGCGCAACGTGTTTGGCGATAAGGAGGTGGCTTTTCACTATAAATAAGCCTCTGAATGAACAGGCATTGACTTGGATATTTTGGCAGACGATCGACGAAGTGAACAGAGGTCACATAACTGCGGGAGAAAGGCTGTATCAATTGAAAGCTCTACAGGATGCATCGAGAAAGCATGAGGTTCGTACTGAATGAAGGAAATCGCTTATAAATCTTAGATTAACAATACCGTTGCGTTTACGTGAAATCTTTGTGTCTGTGTAGTATTTAAAATTAGCAAGAGAACTCAGTGGGTACGGCGACATTGTGTTTCCACATTGCGCGTGCGACTCAAGGAAAGAGGGCCACGTGGTACCAGCAGTGGGCATGGCGACCTTCAAGTTGCACGCCGCGAAGGAGGACGGTACCCTGGAGTCGCAGGTGGTCGAGTTTCAATGGAGCACCATTACTCGGTGGGAAGTGGACGAGGATGGAATGGCATTCTGCTTCCAATACACGCGCCAGGACAATCGTCCACCCCGTTGGCTTAAGGTCTTCACCCCTTACGTAAGTACTCGATAATCTTTTCACGAATCAATTCGTGACTGTGAGCATAGCTGTGATATAGACTGCGCATTGCCTAATCTTAGTTTCTGTGATCAGTTAAAAGCATTAAACGTATCAACATCTGTTTTCAACTCTATGATCAGCATTTCTTTTCAACTCGATAGTTTAAAGAGAAAAAAATAGAGAGATAGTTCATTTATTGATGTCTCAGGGCAAATCCTCTAAGAACAACCTTATAATTATAAAAACAAAGCAAAAAGAATATGTACAAAAATAAGCAAATAATTAAAAGAAAGTAATATATTGTACAAGAAAAAGATAAAAATATACAAAAGAGAAGAAATACAAAAATAAAAAAAATATGTATACATAAAATAGAGAGAGAGAGAGAGAAAACGAGTGAGAGAAATATGCTTCAATTCCCTCACTCTTTCTAAACTGATAGTGACAACTTTATAAAAATGCGCAGTCTATTCTTATATTACATCTGTGATTGCGATACGCGTAATTTCACGCAAGCTCGTCACTCGATTCTTTACCCTGGTGATGTTGTGCTTGCAGTATACGTTCCTCTCGGATTGCTTCGATCGAATAGCCGAAGAAGCGAAATGGGATGATCCAGGAGAATGACATAACGTACGACGCTAAGAGGTATCCAGTGTATAACTTTCAGAGTCCTTTCACAGGATATCTCGCACTCGTCTCTCCGTAGTCGAAATTTTTTCTTATTAGAATTAGGACAGTCTTTAGAAACAATTAACATAGTACCTTTAGCATATCAAATTTTTCATCTGGTAGCTTTGCCGAACATTTCTAATGCTGTACACCGAGAGAGCCCACCGTCATCATTGGAAAAGTCAAATGTGTGAGAATGTAGATAGATATACATCCCAGTGAAACAATGCTGTTACCAGAGAAACAAAATTCGATGGATTACTGCGACGCTCGCAAGTAATCTAGAATGAGAACGGAATGTGATGTATAAATTTAAACTCGGATTTATCATTGATGTCACGCTCGTCCATGATCTAGTGAGGAAATCTTGATGTAAACTAATATTCATAGTCCGTTCTTATTTCAAGATCGTCTTAAGTAATGTCTTGAGTTGCTAATACGACCCTCTTATTAGTTCGTGACATCTTAAAACAGTCTTAAATATAAGAATCGTCTATGAATACGCAGCTTGAATTCAGTGCGCAAGAAAATGAATCTTTTTTTTATACGATGTAGCTGGGACTTTTGTTTCGTCGATGAAACACGTGTCGTTTTTTCTTTTGTTACGATGAACAAAATCGCGCACGCGATGATATATAAGAGAATTACGTTAGTGTACAGATATATAGACTATTACTATATACGGGGATATACGATCAAGGTATGATCGTGTCCGCCTAGAGAAACCACCTATCCTTCTGGCCTATCAATTATTATGTATACAGCACCCAACTCGTTTTCTAAGGAGAAAATCGATCGTCTTACATAAAACGTTCCTCCTTGTTCGCCTAACAGACCCGAAACTCTCTTTCATTGGATCTGCATATCGATCGCGCATTTAAACAATAGAAATAATACCCTGTGCATTTTCTAATATGCAATATTTTATAAATCAATGATAATTAATCTGTAAATTCGTTACGCAGGATATTTTAAAACGAGAGGCGCCGCTTTCGCATGTTTATAAAGAATCTCAATAGTATCGACAGCGCGTCCATTTTATCGCTGTTGTAGGTTTCATTCTTTGCAATTAAGAGTGTGTATAATAAGAAGCACCAGAAATCTAGGACGTCTGAGAAAACAGAAGAAATAGATACATATCATATCCATCGATGGCTTTATTATAAGCAGAACCGAATTCTTGTTTCCTTTCTTCTTTTTAAACTATCCTGTGTAACAAACGAATTCCTAATGCACGCATGGCTACGGCAGGTACCATGTGTCCCGTAATCGATATGTAATGTATCGATCAGTCCTCTACACATTTTGTTAATTCATTAGTATGTATAGCTTCCTAGCGTTGATAAAAAATAGAACAAACTGTACATATTAATGTTAAAAATATATACTTTTTGAGAAGAAACTCAGTTGTGTATGCGTGTGTGTGTTTTGATAAGATCGATAATTATTTGATCGTAAGATTAATTATAACTGGGTGTCGCGTTGTGCTGAAAACGAAATGACGATCTGATTATTATGTTAAATTGTGAACGTGAATTGCAAGTGAATCGGAGGATTGTAATAACAGTCGAGGACTATTTTTAAATCGATGTTCTCGATTGAAAAACTTTATCCCGGACTACTTCCCTTTGATGCATTTATAAAGATACTGTACAATAGAAAATGCGGCATTAATGCTCATCTTTCGATTATATAAGCATGTACGGAATTTAGTAAAAAGGGAAGATAAACGTAAAAACTTGGAACAATAATGCAATAAGGTCGCGTGTTTTCCTCTACTACCTTATACGAAGAAAAAATAACAATACTCATTAATAATGTTAAAAGAGATATTGATAATAATAATGAGATATTAATTATAATAACAGCAAGTAAGAAAAAATATAAAAATAACGTTAGCACTATTCTACGCGTTGCGGGATTTTGTAAAAGGCCGTAATACGCGTTTTGGCATAGATATCCACTTATAGAGAGAGAGAGAGAGAAAGCGAATATTTGGAGCGAGTTCTCTCTTTGCATGTTATGCCCATGATCAGTCATTTTCTCTCTTCTTTTGTTCTTCTTTTCCGGTCTTACGTATGCATCCTGCCTTCTCTCAGTGCTTAAATTCACTCGTTCTAAACATGTCGCTTACTTAACTGCGAGCAGTTTTAGCAGATAATAAATAGAAAGATAAATATATTATTACCGTTAATGTTTTTAAACTTTATTCATGGAGTATCGAGCGCGTGCGATGAATGAGAAATGTATGTGACAATGTAAAATCCAAATGGTGAGAGGAAAAAAAAAATATATATATATGCTTGCGACAGAGCATAGTTATGATACTGTTAATGATAATAGAAATATAGAACATAATATAGAGCGTAATTATATAATCGAACGCGCGAGTATCCGAGTGAACACACATACGAATCGATCGACATACGATGTGATAGATTCGCGCGTGCACCTAGCTATTCGGTCGAGTGAACAAGATAGTTACAATAATGATTTCTATTGTTTTATCAATAGAGATAGAGAAAAAGAGAAAGAGGAGATAGAGGTTTCGAAGGAACTGTGCAAAATCTGTGAATTAGTTAGCAATACGTACGTCCGAAAATGTTATTATTGATGATAAATAAACCTTGAATGAACCTTCGGGTGATCATCTAACGTTTATATAATTTAGCATCCGCAAACGAAAGAATTAGTTAGCTATGCAGTTCTGTTGAATAATGTGTCTAATAATACTTCCGCACGATGTTTCTGATCTTTTTGATCAGGCGATGTCGCTAAAATATGAGAAACTCGAAGGTCTCATTGGTTATCATATTACCGGCAGCAGAAAGATTTTCTCGAAATACACATCGAGACCTTTCGTGTTTTATTGATCGGTTGGAAGAGAAAGTCTGTGGCATCTCGGAGCAGCCACGTGTTTGAAGAATGGCAATAATATTTATAAAAAAAACTGCGTGTTAATTGGTAGAGTTAATTGGTAGTGAGTATTTTTCGAGAAAATCGGAGTGATCGCAGAGATACGTCCAAGTTGAATTTGTGACTTCTGATGCGAAAGATCTGAAAATAGTCGGATTGATGATATTTCGTACAGTTTTGTACAATTATCTTTATCTTGCAGTATTTTTATTACAATTCGGTCATTGCCTTATTGCAGCTTTAGTGTCGTAAGTTGAACGAAAATTGTCTTTCATTTTGAGAAGCTGTTCGATAAAAAAATTTTGCTTATTTTGTTTTAGTCGCTTTTGCGAAATATCTTTCACTAGGAAATTGACTAATTTGTTACATTGTTTATTATCTCGTTAATTAGCATGTTAACGAGCCTGTCAAACATAGAATGGTGAATTAGATAGTATAATTTAATTATTGTTATTACAAGACCATATCATTACAGTTAACTATTTAGGCGTTAATTAAAATATTCTGTATAATCATAGTACGTAATAACAAATGCTCCAATTTACCGTATAACATCAGTTCGCGAAACATTTGCTGTAAAACTAGTATTTCGAATTAGCGAAAGAGGTATTATTCGATTTCTTTATGAACCATCTTATTGAGAAGCATATAATAAAAACAGAAGAAATAGAACTCTTATTTCTGCCTTTTTTAATGACGTCTCCTACCTATTATTATATCTAATATTACGTATATCATAGATAAAATAATGTGATAGTAGAGCAATTTGTGCGATATAATTGTTATTATGTAACGAAAGTAATTTTAAATATATCTAATAACGTAAAGCACATTCACAAATACAAGCAAATAATAGAGGACATCAAGATGGAATAATGCTTTCTCAGCGCCTGTAGAAAAGGAGAATCGTCCAGATAGAATCTCGAAAATGTTCATCGCAAAGTAGAAAGTTCTCAATAAAACCACTGTGTTGTTTTTTCCCATTTTTCTATGTTCCCAAAAGCATATAATAAAAACAGAAGAAATAGGACTCTTGTTTATGTCTCTTTTAATTATGTATCTTACCTACTATTACTATAATTACGCATATCATGAATGAAATAACGCGTACAATTCCTAGACTTAAAATCAAACAATTTTAATTCGTAGGCAAATTGACAATAGACTTCCATATAAAAGCATCACGAGTGCTACGACAGGGATTAAAATTTGCTTTGGAAATATTTCAGCGGAATGCAGCCATGTTGCTCAGCAAAGAAGGATAACGCATGATGTTCCCCATTATGATTACTGCAATACTATCTCGGATTAAAGTCCCCAGTCGTAAACACTATGTAAGCACAAACAAACTCGAAGCTGATCGCAAGATTGTCATGTTCGTGCGCTAATGTACAAAGTGGTGTACACATTCTACGTAATATATCTTTGTAACTAGTGTATGCAGGCTCTCGCGTGTGCACGCGACCTCGTATACGCGATGCTGATACATGCAAGACGGTCTGAGAAGATATCGCTAAGTGGCCACCGATATACGGAACGACAGATCAGTTTAAGTCCACCTGCCCCGCAAGGTGGAACTCCTTCTTAAAGAAATCGTTTATCGGTGATTGCGAATTTAGTCAAGAACATCTGAGAGAATTGTCATAGCCCGGAAAAATGGATCGTGTTAAAAGAAAGAGGAAGAAGACAGGTGGTGAAAAGGTAGCTGTTTAAGTTGAATTTTACACGGAAAAAAAATGTAGCTGTCGTAACTAAAAACTGCATATGGCAACTAAATGGCAGCTGTAAAATATGGACAGCTAAAATATAGGTATTATAGCTAATGTCTTAGGTGTGATATCTATATTATAGCAGCAACAGCAAACCATTTCGCTGTAGTTAATAAATTTATATTGTAGTTACGGCAGCAAATATATTATAACAAACTAAGATTAGCTGCGGCAGAGAAAATCTTTTTTTCTGTGTATGTGCGAATGAAATTCCTTAAAAAATTAAATTGATATTTCAAATATTAAAATCCAAATTATCTCTGTAATTTTTTTTAGATATTAAAATTTAGAAGATTAAATCTATTTAAATAATTTTAAATATTGTGTGTGAAGCTATTTTTTTACTTTTTATAATATAGAAAATTTAAAAACATGTTTAGTTTTTTCAACACTGTTATAATAATACATGTAATTATATTCTGTATAATTAATGGCAACTTTTCTTGTATTTCAAAAAGTTTACATTTTATTATAATTTTTATAATTCTTCCCCGATAAATCTTCTCTCCATCTCTATATAGCAAACGATTGATTTCATTTGAATTTAACCATAAAAACGTATAAAATTTATAAAATTATAATAAGTTAAAGATAAATATTTGCTCGTAACCTGTTATCTTAACAAACGCAAAATGCTTACAAAAGATTAAAATCTTTTTTGATTCGAAAAGATTAGCCTTATCGATGACGTTTATCAAGATAACAGCTGAAAGAAATTGACAGGTACAATATTAAATTATATTAATATATTCTAGCTAATATTAAGTTGCCATTAAATCTAATTATTACGAGATGAATTATATAAAGCAATATAATAACCTAATTGATATAACTCTCAATAAATAGATTAACTGTTTCATATCTATAATTAACTTTCTATAACTGTCATAATTCGTTTTATTTGATTATTTCACATTCATCTTATTACAACTTTTATTTAATACTCATTCTGTTATAAGAAAAAACAACTATAGTAATAAAAACTTTATACAATAATATAAATTAATTTATTTTCAATATTTCGTTTAATGTCAACTCAAACTTTTTTTTCATTCAAAGATGTTTTTTTAATGTTTGTCTTCAAATTCTAAATACGTATTACTTTCTTATCATAAAATAAGATACAAAACAAAAATGACTTGACAAATGATTTACCAATATATTTAATAATAACTTTATCGTTTGCGAAATGCTGCATTATTATTCGCTTATATATTGACCTGAATTCTTCAGAAATCAATTGTGATTCTTCGGACACAATTCCAGTATTTTACTGAAATCATTGACGCATCAATTTCATCATCGTTTTAATATGTTGCAGTAACAAGAATAAGTATTTGATTAAAAACTCTGATAATTGAGGAAAATGGAATACATATCATGCATCATTCTCTCATATTTGCATTAAGATAATATTAG